GCGGGGTCGCGGGAAGGGGAGCGGGGCGGAGCCGGGGCGGCAGGCGGCGCGGGCCGGGGCGGCGCGGGCGGTGCGGCGAGCAAAGGTGCAGGCGACCGCGTCATGGCCCCTTCACAGAGCTGCGCACCTCATCTTATTGATGTGGACCTGCACGCTCGCCGCCTGCAGCGCCTGCCGCCCCTCCGCGCCGCCCGCGCCCTCCCCCGCGCCCGCGCCTGCCTCCGCGCCGCCGCTGCCCGCCTCGGCGCCGCCGGCAGCTGTTGCCGCGCCTGCGCCGGCGACGTCCGCCACGGCGGCGGCCGCAGCGGCGGCGTCAGGCGCGAGGGCGGCCCTCTGTGCGAGCATGTCTTGGAAGCGCTCCACCAGATTGTCGACTGTGGCCTTCCAGCCGTTGAGCTGCTTCACCTCGTTGTCCCTGTTGGGGCCGGGGCCGGGATGGGCGGGACGTGGAGGGGTGAGGGGGCAGGGGGAGCAGCGACGGCTTGGGGTCGTGATCAAGGGGACCGGCGGAGGCTTGGTCGCCTGGGCGCGAGCCAGCGGCGAGGGGAGGGGATCGGCGCCGCGGCGGCGGGCGGCGCACACACGACGGCGTGGCGGGTAGCGGCTGCGGGCCCTTCAGCCCCGAAAGATGATAAGTTGAGATCGTCACTGGAGTGGGTACCGACCAGAGTCCCCAGTCAGAGAGTGTTGGAAAACGGTTTCATCACCGGGCCGCAGCTCGCTTGACACGCGCACGCATGTGCACACAATCACACAAACACACACGCGCGCGCGCGCACACGCGGACTCACGCGCACGGACGCACTATATGCGCGCGCGCGCATGCAGCACGCGCGCGCGCACACACACATACACACACACACACATGCCCACCGCCAGGCACATTCACCTCCCCCACACTCTTTCCCTCCGCCCCCACCCTGGCCCACACAGCACCACAGTGAGCATGGCCCGCCGCCAACCGTCCCGTCTTCGGCGGCCGAGGCGGCCCATGACACCCGCCCTCCAGGCCCGGCCCCCAGCCCCCTGCGCCCACCTTTTGACCAGGTCATACTCAGTGCGCTGCTTGCGGTCGTACAGCGCCTGCAGCTTCGACCCCTGCTCGCGGAACGCTGTCTGAACCTCCAGCTGCTCCTCTATCGCAGCGTCAGCCAGCTGCGGGGGTCGTGCGGTTGTGGAAAGGAGTGACAGGGGAACAAGGAGATGAGGAGGCGCAAAGACGAGAGACATCGGGGAGGGGGGAGCGGCGCAGCGTTGGCGATGGCGGCTGCGGTTGCACGAGAAGCGCCCTGCTAGCAGCGCCGGGCCGCCGGCGCCCAGTAGGCCGGCCAAGGCGCGGTCGCGGGGGGCGGGGGGCAGGAGCGCACCTGGTGCCTATGGCGCTCCATCTCTGCGGCGGTGCGGTAGGAGCCCTCCAGGCCGCGCGGCGCGTGCTTCAGCTCATCAAGCTCCCGCTTGAGCCGCTCCAGCTCGGGCTCGCCCTGCGGTCGTCATACGCGAACACATGTCAATTTGCATATCGCAGGGTGCGATTGTATCCAACTCTTGGCGACAACAGCCAGGAGCGCTCTGCAGGCAGCCCCGCCCGCCGCCCCAGCACAAGCCCCGGGCGCGCGATCCGACGTGCGGGGCGCTCACAGCCTTGATCTGGGTCCTCAGGCTCCTCAGCTCCCGCTCCATCCGCCCGCGCTCCCACTGCAGCGCGTGCAGCTTGGCGCGCGTCAGCAGCGCCTCCCTCTTCAGCAGCTGCACGATGACGTCATCGGGCAGCTCTCCCCCCGCCGCCGCCGCCGCCGCCGCCGTGGGCCCGTCCGCGACCTCGCCGCCGGCCGTTAACGCCGACGCCGCATCGCCGCCCGCCGGCGAGGAGCCGTGCGCGGCGGCGAGCTCGGCGGCCTCGCGCCTGCTGCGCAGCATCTCCGCAAGGAGCTCCTTGGCCACGCGCCGCCGCTCCTCGAGCGCCGCCTGGTCGCGCAGCGCGGCGGCGAGCGCGTCGAAGGCGGCGGGCGCGGAGGGCAGGTGGCTGCCCAGCTGCCGCTTGGCGCCGTCGCGGCCCTTCTCGGCGGTGCTGACGATGGAGCCGTAGACCCACTCCAGGACGAGGCCCAGGCTGTGCGGATCCTCGCCGTCGCGGACCTGTGCCGCGGGGCGGAGGAAGTAGGAGAGGGGGGCCAGCGGTAATCAGGGGGGAAGGAGGTGGCGGAGCAGCCGGGCGGTGGGTGGGGAGGCGCGCCGGCGATGCGGCAGTGGTGGACGGTCAAGCGGGGCGGCCCCCTTCCGCCCCGCCGCGCCGCGAGGCCGCGGCGTCGCACTTTTCGTGGGTGGCCGTCGTCGCCGAGCAGCCGCTCCTGCAGGTGCTGCAGCCACTTGGCGTTGACCGTCAGCGCGCCGCCGTCGGGCGTCAGCGCAAATAGGTCCACGTCCCCCATCTGCTCCTCCTCCTCTTCCTCCTCCTGAGGATGGGGCCGCGCAGGGGAGAGGCAAGGGTCGAGACAGGTGTTATCAAGAGTGCAACCCGCCAACCACCGGATGCCGCCCACGTCGCGCCCGCGCCTGGCGCGCAGCACCGGCAGCCGGGGCGCTCCGTGCCTCACAGCGTCCAGCTGGCAGGTCCCCCCGCCCACAGCGGCGCCCTCCCGCACACGCCCACCCCCGCATCCCGCTCATGCCGGCCCCAGGTGGCGGCGGGGCGGTCCAACCCCTCCCCGCAGGATGCTGTGCGGGCCCCTCACCTCGTCCTCCTTGGGGTCTATGCGCGTCTTGGTGCTCAGGGCATCCACCTTTTCTGTCAGCCACTCAGAGATGCGCGCGACCTGGCGGGGGGCCGAGGAGGGGGGTGAGGGGAGAGGGGGGTTCGGTTACTTGCGGCGCACAGGGCTGCACGATGTTGGCCGGCACAGACTCCTCTGGCGCCGCGCGAGGCTCACCGCAGGCTGCGTACGCAATGCTTGCACCTGCGCCCCCATTAAATACAGACGAGCACATGATGTGCAATTGATCCGCGCGCCTCTCTCTCTCTCTCTCTCCCTCTCTCTCTCACACACTCTTCCTCTCTCTGTGGCTGGCTGGACACACAAACACACACACACACACACACGCGCGCGCGCACACGCGCGCACATCACACCCGCGCACCTCCTCCGCCGGCAGCTTGTCCAGGTCCTCCGGCGCCAGCTCGTCTGCCTTGGTCGCCCGCACCCCCTCCCCCAGCAGCTCGGCCACAAACGCCGTCACGGGCCGCAGCACACTCGCGTACAGCTGCGGGTGCTCCTGCTCCATCGCCTCCACGACGGCGCAGATTATGTCGACGTTGGCGTCGCGCAGGAGCGCGCCCTCAGACACCAGCTGGCGCTCGCGCTGGCGGCCGCGGCGGGCTGGGGGGTTGGAAACGCGGACGGGGCGCGTGTGCGCTTGCATCAACATGTGTGTTTTTGCGTGTGCGCGCGCGTGTGTGTGCAAGGTGGGGGAAGGCAAGACGGGTGGCGTAGAAAAGCAGGGACAGCGAGGGGCAGGTGCACTCCGCCAGGCATACGAAAAGGGGAGTCTCCACAGGGCGCAAAGCGAGCTCAAGGCAGGGGGGCGAGGGGGGGCAAGCAGGGAGGGGTACAGGGGAGCGCGCTCACCTGTGCGCGGCGGCGCCGGCTGCTCCTCCTCCTGCAGCGCGCGCCCCAGCCCCTGGCATCGCGCCAGCAGCTCCGTCATGCGCTGCCGCAGCGCCGCCTCGGCCGGGCGCTCGGGCGCGCGGGGGTCGTCCTTGGGCAGCAGGCGCAGCAGCTCGGGGGGGATGCGGCGCTCGTGGAGGTGCGCGCGGAACGACTCGGCATCAGTAAACTCCTTGTCGTCAAACTGCCACAGCTGCGGGGCGGCGGTGACGGCGGCGGCGGCGGGGTGGGGC